AGAAGAAGTCACATAGTTGTCATAAAATATTGATATAGATGTGGAACATATTTTATGCAGTATAGGCAGCATTAATAAATTGGCGGGTACGATGTTCTATGAATAAACACCTCAAAATTGTAAAAAAGCTCATAATTAGCAACATTTTTATAACCGAGAGCTACCCTTTCTTTGAGTAAAAAATTTAAAGAAGGCGTAATGTGCTGTCAAACAAGTACAAGAAATAATTTTTTCGTGCATGTTTTCCATAAAGTATATATGAATTTATAAAGGCAGCCAAAATCAATGATAAAAAGACATACTACTTAAGTAGCCAGTTTTTACAATAGATACTTTTTGCTGGTAGTCATAACATAGCTCGTTAAATAGCCCGTATCCTATAATGATGGAATAAACTTCAGAATAGACTACACAATAACCAGTTTCACAACCTGAGTCAATGCCAATTAGCGAAAGATTATCAATCTGTCGCTTATGTCGAAACGTTGCGTGATCCGTGGCGTCTACTGCAGACTTGCGCTGCATCTACCGCACTCTCTCTCCCTCTCATCCCTCATTGACCTCTGTACAGTCTCATGAGAGAGTCATGAAGACCGGCGGTAAGTTTGGGCGTATGTGAAACGCACACAGTGTTGAGAAGGAGAGAGAGAGAGAGAGAAATACGCTTTATTTTGGTGGTAAGTATCCACAAGTTTCAGTGTTATAGCCTATTGTGTCCTGATCGCGGCGTGAGCCTGCACCTGTGCGTGCCTTGAACCCCTTAGGTCAACAAAAAACAAAAAGCCAGGGTTTTAGCAGAACAGTAAAAGGATGAAAGTGGCGGCATGGCCTGCTTGATAGTGGTTATTTGACCAATTTACAGAGGGTCGTGCATCTAGGTTGTCAAATGCTTGTCTCGGCTTAGCATAAATAAAAAAAGAACGATATGTGAACTGCATAGCATAACACTTTCCTCACTGGCTCTTTAAGCTTATCCAAAGGGCAACAGTATTATTGGGTTTAAATGTGGTGATAAGGCGGGGCAAGAGGCAACACCTGAACTATCAGAGTAAGTGCAGACGGACATTTTGAAAAGTGCCCTTGGCAACAGTAGTTTATACAGTGCATCTCATTAATCCTTATTCCCAGCATTTTGTCCTACTAAAACGGTGGTTGTAGTGTTTATGAATGGGAACTTAGAATATTCAGTGGAGTATACTTTATTGACTGCTATATGCATTTTTATTTTATCGTATTTAGAAATTTTATTGATTTATATCTTTAGGTTTTCCTAATCTGTATTGTCGTTTAAACGCATCGCGGAAAAAAGATTATAAACTTGTAGGTTTCTTGAAATTCCTGAAAAATAGAAACGGTGGTTAAGAGGTCATCTACTTCAACTTACCTGAGGTCCAACTTACCGTTCTGGAGTTAGATAAGTACGGTCCGCGGCGCGAAGCACCGCGCACACATTCAATTTACGTGCGGAACAACTTACTCGCAGCGGCCGCGGGAAACAAATTCGACTACATCTTTTTCCTTTTGCATTAACTTCGAAAAAAATTCCTTCCCTGCCTATCCTATTTCCCTTTCCACAAAACCCCATAGCAATCGTTTCCGTAGGATAATTTTCTGGGACTACACAGACTACTTTTGCCATCCAAAGTTTTAAGCAACAAGAATACCAGTCAAAAGTGTCAAAAAGGTCAAAATAAGTCTGTTTGACGCATGGAGCTGACGTAGTTTGAGTTCCCGTTAATTCTTTTTTTCTATTGAATGGGAAATCGACATTACAGGTGCGTCAACAGTCATGAGCATTAATAGTAAAATTCCCGCCTGATTTAGATTCAAAAACACGCTTTCACTAAAACGTGTCAGCATGCAAGGAAAAACACTACTTACGGCGTTGGTAGAACCGATGGAGGAAGGAAAAGAACTGAACAAATGGGCCCAGTGGCCATGGAACGGCCGAAATTTGATGAAATGACCGAACAATGGCATAACGTTTAAACTGCCAGGCTATTGTGGAGTCCTGTTGCAAAGAATCAAAGATCTGGCTGTAAAAATAAAAAAAACGTATAAATTAAGGGAAAATTTAAATTGCAGAAAACAAGTGCAAAATGTTTTCCCGGTAGTAACGTTTGCAAATATGCAACCAAAGCAAACGAATATATGGACGAGAAAAGCGACTTGCGTTCTTTTTTAGTTCTTCTTGAGACTGTTTTTCTACCAACCCGCATAGTTTATTCAGTTAATTACAATATAAATGTGAAGGCCTGACGACAATTTATCGAACACAATGTATTTTCACTAATTTATTTCCTGAAATTTTCAAAGGAAATTTTCGCAAATTTAAAAAAATTGCATTTATATGCAAATGCCACAATTCGAGAAATGTGCACTAGTGTTATAACAGAGACCCAGGCCCAGATATCTCCGCGCAATCCGTCGCCAAATTGTTGTAATGGAGGCCCAGGCCAAAATATTCGCCGTCTAACTACGCCTCATGTGAGCCCCCAAAGAGAGAACACGACAGGAAGTGTGCAGAAGCGGAAGTCTTTGAGTGCTCTATGTAGAACAAATTTAGGGAAACAAAGGTATGTCAACGATTTCCTTTGAGCCAATAAGATTCTCTCCTGAGGTGGTGGCCAGTCCCATTGGCTGTTTGCTCAGTGAGTGAATGTAGCTAGAAATTCCAAATTACGACCGATTGTCTAGCTCGAAGTGTTAGCTCGCGCATAGGCCGATCGATAGCCTATTGTGGACGCGGCTATGGTTTGCAAACTACTGCTTGCGAAGGCTGTTGTTAGGCCGCCCTAATAACTAGTACCCAGGTTTTCGCTTTTTGTCAAGCATGCACTATTGAATAATAGCAAAACGCTATGCACTTCTTTTTAAGCCTTCTTCTAGCCGCCAACATTTAAGCTATCTACAAAGACCTTGAAATTAATTATGCCCGCGACATTTATTCTAAACTAGGCAGTTACACACCTTTTCTTAGCGAGCTTCTGAGAATGGATATGGATATGGAAGAATGATTTTCGAGCACCTGATCAATTTGTTCATTATCCTGAGCTTTCTGTACACCAATCAAATGTCAGGAAAGTTGACATGTCAATTGATAGGTGTAAACCCACTATAATAAGCATCCTCTTGTTGCCGTTTCTTATCTCTGCTGATGTACTCCTGTAAGAATTCTAAAGCTCAGGAGGCAACAGTAGCTTATGTAGCCCCACTAATCAATCCCTACAACCTGCACGTTTTCCTACTAAAACGGTGGTTATCGGGTTTTATGGGCGGGAAATTGGAACATGCAGTGTAATATACCTTGATAAATGCTATATGCATTTTTATTTTACTGTATTTTGAAGTGTTGTTGATTTATATATAATGATTTCCCTAATCTGTATTATCGTTTGAGTTATTGCGGAAAAACCCGATTATCAAATTGCAGGTTTCATGAATTTCCCGAA